CGACGTCTTGTATGCCATCGCTTTCCAGCAGAAGTCTTTACTGCCGCCTTGAAGTTCCCGTTTAATTATAATCACTGTATAATTTTCAGCTATTATTGCAGAATTTCCTTTTATAGAAAACTTAGCATTTGATGAAAAAAAATGTGTGTACAATTTATAAATAATACAATTTTAACATTATTTTAAAATAAATAATAGATGCAAAATGATGCTTTAGTAAATTAATTAATGTATCATTTTAAATTCATATCAGTGGCCTGGAGAAATAATCTATATCGTTGTGATACTTGCTTTAGCAAACAGAACTTGAACATTAAAGTTAAAATTGCTTTTCTAGATATTCTGTAACCTTGATCCGATCCATAGCTTCCTGTGCTTGGGCCATCCGGGCGTTAGTGGAGGGATTCTTCTCAGACTGTAATTGTGTAGATCCGAGATATTTAGCTCCAAAGATCACCCCGTCCAGGAGGTCTTCCGGGTCACATGGTCCAGGCACTTACAACAACAACAACATGACATTATTTACCATCTACATCACAAAATAAAATCAAAAGCTAAATACTTTACACTGAGTTTCATACCATTCTTATAAGCTGGCTGTGTCTCAGCTTCCTGTTAAAAGACAAAAGAAAATCAACTCAGCATGTAAACTCTGATGAGTCCGATGCTGTGTTCCAGTCGCCCGAGGCAGAATTCAACTTTGCATTCAAAATACCACCAAAAGCTTCCGACTCATGTGGAAATCCAGAACTCGAACCCAAGATATGGGAATATGATGTCATACGTGACGTTGAAGTTCCTAGATTACACGATGATCAAATGTGATCAGGTGCCTAAGCATGTGCAGGTAAATGCACAAAGGTAATTGGCCTTTTTTATTATACAATTTTGACTATTGCTTGCAATGCTGAGTTTATAATGTTATAGAATTGCGAGTATTCTATGCCAGTGCAAGTGGCTTTCAGTTAAAACAGCCCAAACGTGCACTTTAGTCTGGGACTACGCTCGTCTTTGTAACCGGAGGATAATCTCAGAATTCAGAGAAAAAAAAAATCAGAATTTTGAGAAACTCAAAATTAAGAGATATAAACTTAAAACTGCAAGGAAAAAAGTCTGAATTTTGTGCTATAGACACGCAATTCTGAGAAATAAAGTTTGAATTATGAGATGTTCATCTAAAATATCCAGATAAACACTAATTGCTATAAATAAAGTCAAAAATATATAGTATACCTTCATTTGTTATTCTATGGCAGAAACTGACTTCTATAGAAACAGCCGTGTAATGAGCTCACCTTTATGGTCAGAAGTCTGAGATGTTAAAGGGATAGTTCACCCAAAAGTTGTTCCAAACCTGTATGAGTATTTTCCCCTCTGTTGAACACAGAAGAAGATATTTTGAAGAATGTTGGTATCGAGACAGTTGACGGCGGCTATTGACTTCTACAATGGGTGCCGTCAACTGTCTCGATACCAACATTTTTATTTTTAATATCTTCTTTTGTGTTCAACAGAAGACAGACTCTCATTCAGGGTTGGAACAACATGAGGTTGAGTAACAAAATTTTAAGTTTTGGGTGAACTATCCCTTTAAGTAAGACCTTACAATGGAACACAGCCGAACTATACACAATTAAAGAGGACTAAAAAGTTACCCTGTCATTGTTTGGGGAGACGGCCCGGTCTTCAGACGCCGCCCACTGATGCTCCTCTGTGATGGCGGAGACCAGCAGCTCGTCCTGCAGGTGTCTGTGCCACGCGTCCTCGCTGTGAGACATGGAGATCGTCTCGTCGGCATCACTGCTCTGCCTTCTGAGAGCCGGCGGGCGTGCTGGGGTCACCAGGGGTGTGTGGACGAGCAGCGGCTCTGGCTCCTCCAGCAGCTGCAGCAGATCCTGCTGATACTCATGGGAAAAGAGCAGCGCCTCAGGGATGCTGGTGTCAGCCTCGGCACATGCTGACCGGACCCTAGACCCCAGCCCTGCCTCCGCTGGAGTGTGTGAACTACACGGAGCGCCGTGATCGGCCGAGTCCTCAGCGCTGCAGTGTGTGGGACTGTCGGAAGGAGTTGGTGGATGAAAAAGATGCAGTTGAGTGAGAAGACTTTGAATGTGTGAGTGTTCAATATCGTGTTTCAAACTTTTTTCTTCGTTCTCCCCTTTCCTCATATCTCGATTCCACAATTTTCTATCTCTATCCTCTGCATAACTCTCTTTTCTTTCCCGTTGCTCATCCTGTTTTTGAAAAACACTAAGTTCAGGCTTGTTCTCACACACTTCTTGAAACAAAAGCTCTTCGGAGTCTTGAGCTGCGTAATCACTTGCTGCAGACATTGTGTCTTCGTTCAACTCTGTGTTGAAAAATCCAGGAGCCTCAAAATCCCCGATCGAACAGCTTTCTGCAGCCAAACCGGCCTCGCTGGAGGAGTCGGACCTCCAGTCCAGTGGCGGGGGCTCGATCGGGTTATAGGAATCCAGATCCTCCAACTCAGGGCTCGGTAGATTTTCACTGAGCAAATGTGTGGATTCAGGAGGGTTCGTTGAGTAATCAGAGCCACCAGGAGCCCAGTATGCATCCGGTGCTGAAGCTTCGGGTTGAGACTGGGAGGCATCAGAAGAAGCCAGCTGGGAACTCTGGTCCAAATCTCCATTGTAAAGAAAACCATCTGCCATTGCTACTACTAACTCTTAGCCTTAGTAAGGTAATAACCCTTAAAAATCATTCATTTTTCCAGAAGAGCCTTGATCCATGTAAAACAACCTAGAATAACAGATTAAGTGCAAGATTAAAACTGGTGAGTTTGAAACATACCCACACTGTACCAGTCAAAGTTTTTATCATACATATTTCCACATTTTATAATAGTTCGTCATCAAAAGCATGAAAAAAGCAAATGGAAGTATGGAGGTATTCTATAGTGCCCAAGTATCAAGGTAGTCACTGCATCACTGTACAATCACAGTACTTTTTGGTAAGGTAAATCACAGCGTTGTCTATAAAGTGCATTGTGTAATAACATAAGACACACACACACACACACACACACACACACACACATCAGCTGGGTTGACTTTGTGTACGTGGATGGATCAAAGTGCATGACACTATTTATACAAAGCTTGCAAATCTGATTTCTGATTATATAAATACACATATGAGAATTATCTGTAAATTAACTTCAGTGTTATTCAATAACGACTTACCTTTCCCCAACAACTAATAAACATCACGCAAATCCTGTCCAGTCGCTCATGGCTGGAGCCGGTCAACAGTGTTTCAGAAACACATCCTTACAAACTGACGGGATTTATTTTGTTTAGAAAGAACAACTTTTATTCGGTTAACACTGTGTTATTGTGCAGCTTCTCAAAAACTTAACGTAGTTAAGGAATATCTCCACTGCGCATGCGCATCCGAACAAGACACGACTAATCAATCCATCGTGTCATCAAATGAGGTTTCCCATTGAGGACTTTTAAAAATGTAACTGTTAAATGAAAGGGTTCTTTACATTTTAAAGAGTCATTGAAAAAATAGTAATTTATTTCGCAATTATACTTGAAGCATTTTCACATTATTTGTATAAAATGTTTACAAATACATTCATACAATTGAATATAACATTGTTTTTAACTATTCACCAGAGTAGAAGTTAACGGAATTTCAAAATACAGACTTATCAGTGAGTCTGCATAAATTGCACATTGTTAAACATAATTATTAATACATTACAAATAGTAGCAGATATGTGTGTAATGCTTTAAGTCTATGCTTCTTGATCACTGGAGCTCATCTGTAGGAGAGCTATGAGAGACGAGGCCGTTCCCATCAGCCCCACCAGCCATGGAGGAAACCGTCCAGCCCACAGAAATCCCGGAGGCATCCAATGGACGGCGTTGCTGAGATCGGCCACACCGCTCAGGACACGGAGCACTTCCCCTCGGATCTGCCTCCGGAGCGCAGCTTTCTGGGAGAACGCCTCCTCCCTGCTGATCAGACACCAGCCGTTCTGTGTTTACGCCATCGGAGGGAATATGGGAACATTAGCATGCAGAGCTAGGCTTCAACAACACCAACCTGCTGTCCGCTGGACCGGACCTGTCACACGGCTGCACTTTTCTCTTCAGAATCTGGATGGATCTGATGGATCTAAAAACAAAGCATATTAATGTAAAGTCTGTAACCACTAGTGAAAATTCGTGGTTTGCATTTAAAAAAATATAATACAACACTTCCTCACTAAATAAATTGTTTTAATGTTTTTGAAAGAAGTCTCTGTTACACCTTATTTTAAGGTGTCCTTGCTACAGAGTAATATTAATTAACAACATTGTACTTACTATAGAGTTAGGGTTAGTGGGCTTTGCTTTAGGGTTAGTTGCTTGTAATTATCCACAATTTACTCTTATTAGTCTGATTTTCATATCAGTTTACTCTTATTACTGAAATGAACATGTAATGTGTAACAAGGACACTGTAAAATAAAGTTACCGAAGTCTCTTCTGCTCTCTACGAATGCATTAATTGATCAAAACTATAGTAAAAACAATAATATACTGTGGAATATTATTATAATTTAATATATATATATAGTTTTTTTTTCATATAATTTTAATTATTTTATTTAAAATAATTTTTTTAATTGTAAATAATTGTATTTCAAGTAATGAAAATGTGTTTTATGGTTTTAGTTTCAGTTAACTGATTTACAAGCTGCACTATTACAGGAGGCAAAGGATACGGGGTTAGTAATTCTATAACTTTTTTTTTTTTTTTCATTAGCGGATTTTGTCATAACTTAGGCTATTATAAAAAAATTCAACCTAAAACTTTATTTCCAAGTTTAAATTACGTTTTAGGATCTGAATTGTCATTTGTATCCTTACTTTTTACGAATTATGTTGTACTGATACTGTAACTGATCTTCTGGGACTCCAGAACCCACACACACTTTACCGGAGTATGTTGAGGATGAGGGACAGGCCCCAGAGCCCCGTGCTCAGCACCCACCACCGGTCAGATCTGGTGTTGATGAGCTCTGCATCCGCGGCCCAGGCCATGTGCTCGCAGGGGTAATACATCTGATCAGCTATATTAGTCAGAATTGACATCCAGCGCACCAAAGCATCCTCCTCCTGAGAAACAAAGGCCATTAAGTCAGACTTTCCTTCAAAACTCCAATGTTTCAATGAAGCAGAGCCCTCCGGTGTGCTCACCGAGGCTCCTAACCCATAGCTTGTGGAGTACGCCAGCATGGACAGGTCATCGAAGAGCCTCAGTGTGGTTCTGCAGTGACTCAGCTGAGCGGAGAACAGCAGGAGACTCTTCCCCAGGGAAGACCGGGAGCTCTTCCCCGCCAGAACTCCCCCTACCAGCTGAGAGCCGTAGACCAGGGTCCTTATCTACACCCAGAGGACATCATGATGAGAAACTGCAAATCCTGCACTGATACCATCACATATGATGTCACCAAACCACATGAATGGATAACTGGGAATGAGTAATGTGCCTGGTTACTTCATTCCTTGTATATAATGCATTTCTAACAAGATTTACAAAGAGTAAGAATGCACTGTCCAACACAAACAGACAAGATTCTTTAACCAGATTTGGCCTTATCTCTTAAACATATAAATAATGTAGAGAATAAAAAAATATAAGGGATTATGATATATATATATATATATATATATATATATATATATATATGTTGAAATGGCTCATATTATAAAATCTATCAAATTTACAGAAAAATAAATGATTAATATCCTATTTTACAGTTTAATTTAGCATTTTTTGTATTATTTTTGTTGTTTGTTTGTTTGTTATAATATGGGGTTCTTATGAAGCGTGTAAATACAAACTTACCACTTTATCTCTTCCTCTGTATGACTCTAACACATTAATGAAGGACTCGACTGAACTCTGCATGATCTCTTCTGCACACACGCAATCATGCGGATCACTTCTCAGACGAAAGACGTGACGTACGTGGTACATCCATTAATAACTTTTCAGAACGTAAGAAATATAAAGCACATTTAAGACGGGGTTGCTTTTTAAACTAATTTCAAATCCATCCTTTTAGCAGCAGTCTTGCATTAGGGTTAGTGGACTTCGTACAGGAAATTATTTATGTTCAGTGTTCATGTCAGACTAAAGCAATCAAGAGCCGATATGACGTGTGTCGCGGAATCACCGTGGGCCTTTTTTTATACAGTGGAAAACGTACAAAATATTTGTAAATTTAAGATTCAAAGCAATAACAAAAAGTCAACATTTAGTACAGTTATTGCCTATATGTAGGCTAAATAAATAAATGTTTGGGCCTTTACATACATCTGAAAAATCCTTAGAATCATAACTGTTTTTTATGAGTTTCTTGTTTTGTGTTTTCATATTTGAAAGGGTTTCGAAGTACACTGTGAGATCAGAATTAGAAAATGTAGTATATTTTTTTAGGTATATATAGTTGTTGTTTTTGTCTTGTGCATGTCAAACTTTGTCAAAACAATTAAAAGATTAACAATATAATTTTGTTCTTCAGAAAAATATGGGTTTTGTAAAAGAAAATATTAATTACTCGACAATTCAATTCATAACAATTAAAAAATGTGTAACAAAAACGAGTTGGTGAAGAAAACACTTGGCATTGCATTGCAAGAAGAAGTAAGACTAGCATCATTATTGTAATAGTTACATAGTTAGTGACACATTGTTACACGTTTACAAGTGAATTATGAACCACCAATAAATAAGTAAATAAATATATAAAATGAAATATAAAACTTTATTTCTTGTCTTTTTTTTTTCAATACCACAAAAGAGAAAGATCTAACAGGATCAAATCCCTATGATTATTACAAGTAAAAATCTTTACAAAATATTTTTTTCACAATTCGTATGATTATAATGTTCGATAAGAATTATTTCTACAATATACAAAACTTTGAGCTCCAGTTTCCTGAAGCAAATAGGTTCAAAAACCATTCATTGGTTTGTTACAGGGAACACAGGTTCAGTTTCTCAGGTAAAAACACTTTTATATGAGGATCCCAGATGAGCTCAGCTGTCATCATTGTCATATATATCTGCCATTAAACAAACAAATACACAATTAATTAATCAAATCATGTTAATTCTTTTAAAATCATTTGCTATTATGACAAATAAAATATATATTTTTATTTATATATATATATATATTACAACAGCTAGCATTAAAAAGTAAAACATTTAATTTAGGAGAAAAAAAAGATGTACCTGAAGCAGTGTCAATGTCATCATAAACATCATTCTCCCTGCAAATGATAACAGAGGATAACATTAAAAAAAAGAAGTAAATTCACAGACAAGGTTTAGATTAAGCCAGGATTAGTTTAATTTAAGTAGCTTTTCTAAATGTGGCTTAGAGAAGAAACATCACCGCTGTGCATACTGAAACAAAACAACCAGAGCAAGCTGCTCAGAACAGCGTATGCCTCGTGTATGAAACCGGGGATTGTGCTTTACTGTATATAAATAAATGAATACATACTCATGCAGGAGATAATTCAACGGCACATATCCATCTGTGCAAAGAGAAAGAGTATAAAATTATTATATTCAACATAGAAGCTGATCTTTATATCACTGTGCTCTTGGTTTTAAGAGAACGGAGGAAGGCAAAGCTTGGATAGCACATATGTCCCGACTCACATCTGCCCTCGCTGCTCCGGCACAGGACTCGCTTCCGGCTGCTCTCCTGGAGCACCTCCACAACCTCTCCACGCATCACCGCAAGCTCTTTGCTCCCCACCTTCTTCAGACTGGCATTAGGGTCCACCATCATGCTGTACAGAACTCGGATGGGCCCTTCAAACTGTTAAATAGTTTGATATCTTTTATATTTTACAATTTAAGACACCTTACAGCTTCTCATGGCAATGATCAACAAGAATTGAAGCTAAACCGTGAAAAAAAATGGACATATTTACCTTGAATTTCTTTCTAAACTCTTTCTCCTGCAGCTTGGCCATTTTCGGATCATGGCTAAACAAAAACACAAGGTATTAATATTAACTCTCATATGCATGATGTTCACTAGTGCACAGAACGTTTAAAAAAAACTACCCATTCAGGGTGTGATGCTAATTTTGAAAGAAAAAGAGATTTGATTTGTTCTGAAGTCAAAAGAAAATATTAAGCTTTTTAAAAACTAATTCAAGCGCATAAACTCAGCGGCCATGTTTAAGCCACTGGCCTCAGGTCAGGGAAGCTGAAACAAAAGCTCTCTTTATCCTCGGTGCTAGTTTACACTTTAGTTATCCATTAACACACAATTCAAATGGGGTTTAGAAAGTTTTGTTTAAAGCACATCAAGCTGAAGAGAGACACTTCAGCAGCTTTCATACATACAATATGACACAAAAATAGCACATAAAAGGAAAACAATTGGTGTGATTGCTTGTTTTGTGATGAAACACAACACAGACATATAGTCAAGTCACCTTTATTTATATATGCCTTAAGGTGTGCTCACATCACTGAAATTTGGGCAAATTTTGCAGGCAAAAGCAGGTCCACTGACTGTTAAAAGTGCAGCGATGTACAGGCCACAATCAGCACACACCCCACAACTCACTATCAAACCAAAACCCACGTGAGCAACTTGAACTCGCGCTGAAATCTGCATGGGGAAATCTTCCACCCTCATGTAAAAGTCCAAAATGCGTGGATTCCTATTGAAACGACTGGATTTCACCTGCGAAAATTCCCCAAACAACTTGTGGCCGCACAGTTAGTAAATGAAAATGAGTCTGTGATGTTCTACGTCTAAGTCACGTCAAACGTTGGCAACCTATTATTATTATTTTCAGTCGTGTTTTGTAGTTCCATCAGCCGAGTGATCGACACTGAGGCACACAACACTAGAGCGCACTGAAAGGGGGTTCTGTATAAAACCCTGGGGTTCTGGACTCGATTTTAAGCAAAAAAGGTTCTATTTAAGGAGAAATGTCTTAAATGATTGCATAATGTTTGTTTTTTCTGGTCATAAAGTATGTTTACGAGCTGTTTGATTCACCAACTTTATTCAAAATAAACTATGATTATATAATTTTAATTCATAAAATGATCCCATGATAGAAACCCATAAATGAAGCACCTGACAGAACCCTTAAAGCCTCACTGAAGTGCCTTTATGTAGTGTTGACTTCATGTCCTCTGAAACAGGAAGACAGGTAATGACATATCGAACAGCTCCTCCCCTTTTTTAAAATAGCCAATAGCGTTTTGTTTATGTCAAAGCTCGGGCAGAGCCGTTGAGCTCGGTAAAGCCCCAGTTTCCTCCAAATCTCTAACCGTTTCTCCTCATAATCTATGATATATCGCTTTAAAATACAGCATTCTGTGCAGAATTCAGATGGATCGCATGACACTAACGTGAAGCCGGACTTCATTCGCCCCAATGGAGAGTATATTTACACTGTCTGAATTTTTCCCTATTCCCTTTATAGTGCACTATAATGTGCCATTCACCATGTAGAAAATAGTAAATGTGTGAATATTTTGAATGTAGGGGGCGGGACACAAATAGTCGTAGTTTTGGAGCACACTAGCTTATAGATAACATTAAGTCTAACATATTCAAACTCAAAGACAAAAAACTTCCATTTTGATTTCATGGGGACTTTAAAGGCTCCATATATACAAACGTTTCTTCTAAGAGTGCAATCTGCTCTCTCACAGCCTCATTTTCATTTGTGTAAAATTAAATATTGGCGACTACGGTCCATTTGTTAAAACAAAAGAAAGAAAGACAACAGACACCTGATCTCTGGGGGAGGAGGAGGAAACTCTTGGTCCACATCATCATAAACATCTGAGAATAGCAGAACCCAAACATGTCAATCCAATGCAGAACAATCCCTGAAAAAGACTTTTCAAACCAATGCATAAAACCACTCTAAAAGATCAGTGTGTGTGCTGTAACTCACCATCACTGTGAAAACTGCTGCAAAGAGAAGAAAAACACAGAATATGAGTGGTGGGAACCAGCGTCTGTCTGCCCTCAGCTGAGGCGGCTCTCACCTGTCCAGTGGGTCGCTGGCGCCGATGTCATCATAGCAGTCCGGGCCCACGCCGGCGTGACCACGGATCTTACGCTTCACTTCCTCATAATCCACATCCACACACGAGTTACTGATGTAGCCAACTGCAATGGCAAACACGTATTCAGAACTTTCTCAATATTTTACTCGTTTTTTCTTTGGTTATTAAGAAAATGTCAAGCCAAGTTGATAGCTAGATTGACTTCTAGGTTAGAATGTAGTGAAATATAAGTAAAAGTTGTGAGGAAATGAAAGTAGAAACAGATCCTATTTTTCATATTGTGACAAGTCCGAGTGAATGGGAATATCGAAAAAGAAAAACTGTCGGGCGGGGACTTGGTTATATACAACCATTGACCTTCCATTGAACGGAGGAAGATCTGAATGTGAGCTTGAATTTGATTGTAAGAAAGAGGCTGGGTTTAGGCACACTAAATGATTGAAGAAATTAATGATTACATGATCAGTCATCGTGATTTTGCCAAGTAAGACATATTTACAGCTGTAAACTTGTCCCTCATTTCTGATTGGTTGAGTGGAAAGATGATCCAGGAACATGTACTTGGTGAAATCACGTTCACCGAATACATCACCAGAGAGAAGTCTGTTGTTTTACTGGAACACTGAGTTATGTAATGTCAAGAAATTTGTTTTTTAAACTCTTCTGTCCACTCATTTGTATAAAAAAAATAAATGTTTAAAGTAATGCACTTACAATGGAAGTCTATTGGGAAAAGACATTGAAATAAACACCAATTCATAAGTACTTAAACATTATACAACTGACCATGACACTAGTGCGAAATAATCTCACAGTATGGGCCAAGATACCAGGAAGGGTCTTTCAAGACAAACTACATACACAGAAATTATGTACAAATAACCAAAGTTCTTCCACCTAGAACTGCAGTCCCACAGCCAAAAGGATAATTACACAATATTTACAGTTCAAATATATCATGACGTCTCTCTGAATACTCGATTCTGGTTGGCTGGAAGGTGTGCATTAAAACTGTTTAATGTATATGTACTCTCTCTCTACCTTTTTATTCTCTCTCTCTTACCTGTTTAATGTACATGTCCCCAGTCAGTTTAAAGACCCACTCCGATGAAAATAATGTTTTTCTAGGTGTTAACATGTTCTTGTGGCATTTTTCTGATGTTAGAGGACATATCTTGAGAAAAATAAGCTCAAAGTTGTATTTCTGAGTATTTCTACATTCAAATGGCTGTGAATCAGTAGCAGACGCTAAAATGCTGGCTAAAATAGACTGGAGTTGTGACGTAGTAACTCCACTGGGCGGGGCCACAAGCTCATCCTCCCCTCCGCCCCGCCCACTCAGGCTCTGAGGAGTAGAGAAGACGATGGCGGATCAACACCGATGTGCGGTAGCGGGTTGCAATGCTAAGAGGAGAGATAGTGGTATTAGCTTTCATGGTTTACCAAAACATGTTGCTGTAAGAGAGAGATGGATTACGTTCCTTGGTCACGGCAATGTTAAAAACCACACATCGGTTTGCGGTCGGCACTTTACAGAAGACTGTTTCACCAACTGGCAGGAGATAAAAATGGGCTTCATCAGCAAATTGTTTTTGAAGCCAGATGCAGTGCCTTCCATCAAGACACCATCAACTGGACAGCCTGTGTCTTTACCGGTAAGTTTATTTGTTTTCTGTCGGGAGCTAGTTTAACGATCCCGCCTGTTTGCTAGTGGGAGAGACAGAGCTCTCAGCAACGGGCAGGGGGAGGGGCGTCTCCGTGCCAACGGCTCCGCCCACAACGCAGAGGCGAATTGCTAATGAGCTACTGCCGCTCTGCTGAAGCGAAGTCCCAGAAAACGGCACAAGTTTTGTGATTTTGGCTAAAAATGGCATAATCATAATTTAAAGACCACTGGGAATGTTTAAAAATAGCTCAAAATATGATCGGAGTGGGACTTTAAACACCTTTCTTATATTAATGCGCTGCTCTCATTGAAGCGCACACACACATACGCCACTCGCACACAGATCGGAGATCGCGCTGAGCACACACAGAAACATTCAGGAGCACAGAAACTTGTTGCCAAAGCTACCCCGTGACTTTTTATTAAAGGGTTAGTTCACCCCAAAAATGAAAACTCTGTCAGTAATTACTCTCCCTCATGTTGTCCAACCCCGTAAGACTTTCGTTCATCTTCGGAACACAAATGAAGATATTTTTGATTAAATCTGAGAGCTGGATCACTCCTCCATCGGCTTCTTCAGGGATTGAACTTGCCGGCCTCGAAAAGTTATGAAAGACATCGTTAAAATAGTCCGAGTGACTACAGTGGCTCAACCTTAAGTTTATCAAGCGGCGAGAATACTTTCTGTGCGCAAAAAACAAACAAAAATAACGACTTTATTTCAACTATTCATTTCCTTCTCCGTGGGCCTCAAGTCAGTTCACTTGTGTAATAGCGTAAGCTTCTGTTGTTGTACGTCACACACACACACATGACCAGCGTCGGCCAATAGTGAGCCTGCGTGTGACGTAGCTCTACGGAATCACACTACGTTAACTGACTAGAGGCCCAAAGAGAAGGAAATGAATAGTTGAATAAAGTCGTTATTTTTGTTTGTTTTTGCGCACAGAAAGTATTCTCGCCGCTTGATAAACTTAAGGTTGAGCCGCTGTAGTCACTCGGACTATTTTAACGATGTCTTTAATAACTTTTCGAGGCCGGCAAGTTCAATCCCTGAAGAAGCCAATGGAGGAGTGATCCAGCTCTCAGATTTAATCAAAAATATCTTAATTTGTGTTCCGAAGAAGATGAACGAAAGTCTTACGGGGTTGAACAACATGAGGGAGAGTCATTACTGACAGAGTTTTCATTTTTGGGTGAACTATCCCTTTAATAAATTAGCTTCACTACAGACAGAATCACTACATTGATTATATTACTCAGAAGGAGGTGATAGCGTCACTGTTTTTGACGTAATTAGACTCACAGCCTCATAGAAGAGAGACGCTGCGCAGACTCAGGTAATTCTGATACATCTACAGTATCTCTCTCTCTCTCTCTCTCTCTCTCTCTCTCTCTCTCTCTCTCTCTCTCTCTCGATAGGCTAATGGCCCGTTCACACCAAGGATAATGATAATGATAAAGATATAGTTCTAAAAATCGTTTTCAATATTAAAGAATAGCAGAGTCCAGACCACAGCTATAACGATAATGTAACAGAGAAATTATATCGTTGTAATCACTTTCAGAACGATTTTATCCAGCCGATGAACAATAAAAACAATGACAGCCAATCAGAGTCCATCCTGCTGCAAAGAGCTCAATAATTTAAAGTAACAGACAACACGCTTACAATAAATAGGACGATATAGTCCACTGGTGTGGACTCTAATATAGTAATCTTCATAGTTATTCTGAACGGCCCTTAATTCATTCAAATAAATGTTATAATTAATAAATAATAAATGTAACCTTACTGCACTACTTTATCTCTGTGTCTGAGTTAAAGCGAACTGTAAGTGCTTCGCTGTAAACATGACCATGTCACCGTTACGAACTTCAGCTTATTTGACTTACAGCTGCCCCTCAGGTTTCGCGCCAGCCATTTCCCCTCAGGGTTGTTGTTGACGCGGATGATCTCCACGTTCTCCCCCTGGCGCACCGTCAGGTCATTCTTCCCCCCCTGCCAGTCCTCTCGCACACGGGCCGTGTGTATCGCCTCGATGGGTCCAGTCAGCTGTGTGACCAAACACGAGTGTGATCATGCTAATGCGAACACGCACACAAACACGTCCATGACATCCTGCCTCTTTTTAGCTTCAACACAGATAATTGTTACCTTAAATTTCTTTCTATACTCGTTTTCCCGCTTCTGCTTTTCCTTCAGTTCTTTCTTGTCCAGCTCTACCTTTTTGTTTTCTTTTGAGACTCTCCTCTCAGCAGGAACGGGTCTGCCACATATAGAAATATGGTTAAAATTAAAGGAACAGTTCAAATCAAATTCACGTACGGTCTTCAGTGGAACACAAAAGGAGAAGTTCTGAAGAATGTTCATGCTACTCTTATAAGAGCTTGACAGTCAAGCTCTGTTTGCTTTCATGTTGTTGGAAAGAGTAATTTCATGAGGGGGAGTGAATTAAGTTAAAGAATAATGTTCATTTGATTTTAGGGTGAACATTTCTTTTAAAGATTATAATTTAAGTGATTGTTCAGCAGTCTGAGGCTGCAGAACATATGGATGTAATATAACAAGATATTTATTTATAGATTATTGATTTCTTGTACTAAAAGTTTTGCATGACCATCTTATACCCTTACAATTAAATAGGCTACTGTACCTTTTAGATTTCTATACAGGGATGCACTAATATTAAAATTGAGGCCGATACCAATAAGCCAGTAGTTATTTTCATCTTAAGGTCAATAAGATAAACAAATAAACAATTTCAAGTGGTTTGAAATACACTAGTTTAAAAAAAAGCAACTGTCATGTTTACCAAGGCTGCATTTATTTGATTAAAAATGCAGTAAAATAGTAATATTGTGAAATTGTATTACAATTTAAAATAACTGTTTCTATTTTAATATATTTTAAATTCAAATTTATTCCTGTGAAGCAAAGGTGCATTTTCAGCATTATTACAGTGTCACATGATCCTTCAGAAATTATTATAAAACATTTCTTGTTATTATCAATTTTGAAAAAAAGATTATTATTATGCTTATTTATTTATTTATTGGTGGAAATTGATTAAAAAAAATCAGGATTCTTTGAAGAATATAAAGTTCAAAAGAACAGCATTCGTTTGGAAGAGTTTATTGTCACTTTGGATTATTTAATGCATAAACTTAAATTAAAAATAAAACACTAGCAAATACATTAGAAATAATACAACACTACAAATAAATTTAGCCCCACATTATAATGTATAGTGCAAAAAATGGGTATTAATTTAGACTAGGTAAAGATTACGTTTAACATTTTTAATAAATCATAAAGAGTTTAGGTGACAGCAAATGTTGTTTAAATAGAGGAAACTAGCATAAATATCAAAGACTTTTCTAAAATTGACCAATATCAGATAAGGTATCAATATATCACGAATTCAAGCGGTGCAATTTTACATTTACATTTTAATCCTTTAGCAGACGCTTTTATTCAAAGTGACTCACAAATGATGAGAGCAATAGAACTAGTTAAACTATCAAGCACAGTACACGAGGGATTTAAAAATAAATAAATAGATATACAGATTAGAATAGTAAGTGTTAGTATTAATGGATCAAGTGATGACGAAAAAGCCGTGTCTTGAGAATGGCTCAGCCGCTCGGGTCGAGTCAGGGAACAGCTGAGGCGATCTCTGGTTAAGCTAAAGGGTTCTGCGCCTCTTCGGGGCGATGGCACCACAGGGCGAGAGGCTTCTAGAGACACGCACGTCTGAGGTATAGTGAGCTAGGGTATAGGGGTGCATTTTAATGTGTTCATGTTTGTGGCATCATAATAATTATGAACAAGCTGTTTTTGCCGTTCATCTTCAGTAATGTCTGGGTGGAGTGGGGAGGGATCTTTGTATCGTAAATGTTTTGTAAATGCATGACTTACATGTCTGGGTCTTCATAGATATCTTGATCGCTGTCCTACAATACAGAAGAATAGCATATCAGAGCACATGCTAGACTACAGCTCTGTAACCACAGCACATGGAGAGGCTTAAACATCCTCGCATTCACTCGTTCTGACACACACACACACACACACACACACAGAAATAACCCACCTCGTGCTGAGAAGGGTAACTGTCAGTCCACGAGTCTGCAACAAGAGAAGACATATATGCTGGATTGGTGAATGTATTTTTTTTTATAGAAATAATTCTGTAATTATCTGCTTACACACGCACACACACACACAACACATTTGAGACACATGCCAGATTATATTTTGCCCACACAGTGCTAGGGTGTTGTGAATGGTTACCAAGGCACTGCTTTGTGGTTTTTTAGCCCGTTGCTATGTGGTTGCTAGGTGGTTTCTTACTGGCATATCTCTGGTAATCTGATCTCCAGATATGGCTTGGGTCACTCAATGTAAATCTATGAGATTCTTTCTTCTGCTTTATTGCCAACCAAGCAAAATTCATAAGAATATATTCATGTTTACCTCTCGGCTTGGGAGGCGGGGGAGGGGGAGGTGGGAGTGCGCTGATGTCATCATACGTCTCCTGCTCATCTCTGATCCACACAACATGAGACTTAGATCAGACACTTTCCCAATCACACTCATTGACAACAAACACACTTCACCCACTAATGGCAATACAGTGGGATAAACATAATGCAACACATGCTTTTCTGAACTGGTTTCATAAGAATCTGCATAAAGAGTCAGGAAACGCCACAGAGCTGCTTTACACCCACATACTTCCAGGATGAAAGATTGCACTGTAAGATGCACGCATAAAGCGACACAATAGACCTGAAGGTGTTGTGCGATTCAGAGTTATGTCTCTTTATACTTCAGAGATACACTACTGATATGGAAAGCTTTACACCTCAGAGATTATATATTCTACATTTGTTAGAGTTTCCTTTCCCTTGACTTCCAAACAGGCAATCTAGACAACTATTGAACAAGCCGAGATTACTCACGCTTCTGCTGTCCACTGGCTGGGTTTATTTGGGGGTCTTGCTGGTCCTGATCAAACACAAATATATCAAGTTAAACAGCTTTTCTGTTAAAACTTATCCAACACAAAAGTCTTGATTAAAAATGTCATGGAAGAAGTCAATAGCTATCATTATAAATTCCTGCACTAGATCATAGGTACAATGACCAATAAATGCACATATTTATGTGTTTTTATTACTGATTTGTATGTGTATGCAATAAAAGTTTGAAAAGGCATTTGCTTTCCATTCAAAATGGCTCCTACCTTTCAAACATTGTGATTCTATTGGTCTTTTGGGAAGAACAACGGGGGCTTTTTTGTGCAAGTGATCCAGGTTTACCGACGGAGGCCGCTTGGGTTTGGCGGGTCGCGGGCCGACACTGGGAAGCGGCTTCCTCAGCGGCACGACCTCGGAGACGCTCCTGTGGGCCGGCAGCGGCGGTCTGAAGGTCATGTCGCTCTGCTGTTTCAGGATCTTGCTCTGCAGAAGCTCTCCTGTCAGCCGGACTCGGCTCGGCACCTCCGCAGGGCCCGGCGTGGGGCTCTCCTGGGCTCCGGCACGGCGAGCGGGAGGAGGTCTGGGAAACACTCCTTGAGGGCCCGAGAGAAACATCTTTGGCTCACTGAAAGAGTTCAGAGGCACGAGTGCTCTTGGAGGCACAACTGAAGCCTTGTTTCGGAGCGCTCCATTGGGGAAAGGCTCCGCGACAGCCGCGTGAGGTCTGACGGCGGAAACGCCTCCGGAACCGGCCATCTCTAACTGAGCGTGAAACCTCGCCCGGAGGGCTTTGACATCCACATTTTCCTCCTGTAAAGAAAATTCAATTAATTCTCATTTGAGAATCTAAAACAATCCAAGTTCCCTTTTGACTTAAAGACGTAAAAACCTGTTACCAGTGTGTTCCTTTACTCTATATGGTGATAAATGTAATAGATCTAATGAGATGTAAAATATAGTCAAGTCATCCTGTAATTTACACTGAAAAAACATACATTGACATTTTCCTGAACATTCTGTGTGCTCACATTTGATGATTTTTCATTAAAATAGTTTTTTTAATGTACATTAGGGTTTCTTGTTACATGAATGTTTATTGCATTATTTTAGTGTCATATAGCCTGTTACCATGATGGTGTTTTGCATTTGTGTGCATGACTTCTATACATTAACTTCTGTACCTTAACTTGTAGAGAAGCTTCATGTGATGAACTTTGATTCATTGTCTGAATTTCTCTTGTGTTTTTAAGGTGGTTGTCTACGGAATCGTATTGCATTCACTTGAGGAAAAAAAATGTACTCTGTTTTAATTATCTCAGAATTACGAGATCATTTTTCATGGAAAAAAAGTTTTTGCTCTGTTTTTATGAAATTAACGAGTTAATATCTCAGAATTACGAGATCATTTTTCATGAAAAAAAAGTTTTTGCTCTGTTTTTATGAATTAACGAGTTAATATCTCAGAATTACGAGATCATTTTTCATGAAAAAAAGTTTTTGCTCTGTTTTTCTGAATTAACGAGTTAATATCTCAGAATTACGAGATCATTTTTCATGAAAAAAAAGTTTTTGCTCTGTTTTTATGAATTAACGAGTTAATATCTCAGAATTACGAGATCATTTTTCATGAAAAAAAGTTTTTGCTCTGTTTTTATGAATTAACGAGTTAATATCTCAGAATTACGAGATCATTTTTCATGAAAAAAAAGTCTTTGCTCTGTTTTTCTGAATTAACGAGTTAATATCTCAGAATTACGAGATCATTTTTCATGAAAAAAAAGTTTTTGCTCTGTTTTTATGAATTAACGAGTTAATTTCTCAGAATTACGAGATCATTTTTCATGAAAAAAAGTTTTTGCTCTGTTTTTATGAATTAACGAGTTAATATCTCAGAATTACGAGATCATTTTTCATGAAAAAAAAGTCTTTGCTCTGTTTTTCTGAATTAACGAGTTAATATCTCAGAATTACGAGATCATTTTTCATGAAAAAAAAGTTTTTGCTCTGTTTTTATGAATTAACGAGTTAATTTCTCAGAATTACGAGATCATTTTTCATGAAAAAAAAGTTTTTGCTCTGTTTTTATGAATTAACGAGTTAATATCTCAGAATTACGAGATCATTTTTCATGAAAAAAAAGTCTTTGCTCTGTTTTTATGAATTAACGAGTTAATATCTCAGAATTACGAGATCATTTTTCATGAAAAAAAGTTTTTGCTCTGTTTTTATGAATTAACGAGTTAACATCTCAGAATTACGAGATCATTTTTCATGAAAAAAAAGTTTTTGCTCTGTTTTTATGAATTAACGAGTTAATATCTCAGAATTACGAGATCATTTTTCATGAAAAAAAAGTCTTTGCTCTGTTTTTATGAATTAACGAGTTAATATCTCAGAATTATGAGATCATTTTTCATGAAAAAAAGTTTTTGCTCTGTTTTTATGAATTAACGAGTTAACATCTCAGAATTTCGAGATCATTTTTCATGAAAAAAAAGTTTTTGCTCTGTTTTTATGAATTAACGAGTTAATATCTCAGAATTACGAGATCATTTTTCATGAAAAAAAAGTCTTTGCTCTGTTTTTCTGAATTAACGAGTTAATATCTCAGAATTACAAGATCATTTTTCATGAAAAAAAAGTCTTTGCTCTGTTTTTCTGAATTAACGAGTTAATATCTCAGAATTACGAGATCATTTTTCATGAAAAAAAAGTTTTTGCTCTGTTTTTATGAATTAACGAGTTAATATCTCAGAATTACGAGATCATTTTTCATGAAAAAAAAGTTTTTGCTCTGTTTTTATGAATTAACGAGTTAATATCTCAGAATTACGAGATAATTTTTCATGGGAAAAAAGTTTTTGCTCTGTTTTTCTGAATTAACGAGTTAATATCTCAGAATTACGAGATCATTTTTCATGGAAAAAAAGTTTTTGCTGTTTTTCTGAATTAAAGGTGCAGTGTGTGATTTTTAGCGGCATCTAGGGGTTCGGTTGCACTAATGGCTCCGCCCACTGCTCACCCCTCCCTTTCGATGAAGCTACGGTGGCTCAAACGGGACAAACATATTGTCGTCTGAGACAGCAGAGAATAGCCAGAGCAGTGGCGTAGGTTTGATTTTGAAATTGGTGGGGACGGGGACATCAATGTATAAATATATTTTAATTTTTGATCGAAATTATTGCTAGGGATATATTAGTGTCACTGGATATTGGTAGGGACACGTCCCTAGCGTCCCTACTAAATTCTACGCCCCTGAGCCAGAGTAAGCCAAGAGTGTGTAACATTGTCACTGTTTCTGTACCACAGTCCATTATAAACCACATCATGGATAAAGTTTACAAAGCCATAGTCAGGTGAGGATCAAGGGCCTTAATATATAATATAATAATAGTAATCAGCTGATTGTCTCACAAACGTAACCAGCACATTTCTCCCCACATAGCAAACCCATAATACAGCGAGGGAGAAGAACCACATGAAACTATGCAACTATATATGTTTTCTAACAGGGTAGTAAAAGTTTAGCTGGCTAATATGAGCTGTTACTGTGGCTGAGCTGGTTAAAGCGTAAAGCCTTGTTTAAACTCGACGCGTCCGCATGAGCGCAAAGGTGCGCGCGGCAGAAATGACGTGATTGTAACAGCACGCGCGCCTCCTCATCCCCTAGACACCATTTACTACACACAATAGGCTTTTTTCTCTGATTTTGAAAACTCTTCGCGATCGACTTAAAAATGCTTCCAAGATCGACTTGTCGACCGCGATCGACGGGTTGGTGATTCCTGTAACGTTACTGTTTTACGGTCAATGACAAGAGCACTAATCAGCCGTCTCACGAACGTAACCAGCACATTTATCCCCACATAGCAAAGCCATAACACAGCGAGGGAGAAGAACTGAGTTACATGAAACAGTCCAACTACATATTTTACACCACTGACAAGGGAAAAGTCACTCCTCACGGTGTCTAAGGCTAGCTTCTAGGTTTCTGCGGCTTCTCTTTCAAGCTAGTGACGAAACGCGCTCTGTAGCGCTGTGTGTTCGCTGTGTGTTCGCTCTGTAGCGCTGTGTGTTCGCTGTGTGTTCGCTGTGTGTTCGCTCTGTAGCGCTGTGTGTTCGCTCTGTAGCGCTGTGTGTTCGCTCTGTAGCGCTGTGTGTTCGCTCTGTAGCGCTGTGTGTTCGCTCTGTATCGCTTTGTGTTCGCTCTGTAGCGCTGTGTGTTCGCTCTGTAGCGCTGTGTGTTCGCTCTGTAGCGCTGTGTGTTCGCTCTGTAGCGCTGTGTGTTCGCTGTGTGTTCGCTCTGTAGCGCTGTGTGTTCGCTGTGTGTTCGCTCTGTAGCGCTGTGTGTTCGCTCTGTAGCGCTGTGTGTTCGCTCTGTAGCGCTGTGTGTTCGCTGTGTGTTCGCTCTGTAGCGCTGTGTGTTCGCTCTGTAGCGCTGTGTGTTCGCTCTGTAGCGCTGTGTGTTCGCTCTGTAGCGCTGTGTGTTCGCTCTGTAGCGCTGTGTGTTCGCTCTGTAGCGCTGTGTGTTCGCTGTGTGTTCGCTCTGTAGCGCTGTGTGTTCGCTCTGTAGCGCTGTGTGTTCGCTCTGTAGCGCTGTGTGTTCGCTCTGTAGCGCTGTGTGTTCGCTCTGTAGCGTTGTGTGTTCGCTCTGTAGCGTTGTGTGTTCGCTCTGTAGCGCTGTGTGTTCGCTCTGTAGCGCTGTGTGTTCGCTCTGTAGCGCTGTGTTTTCGCTGTGTGTTCGCTCTGTAGCGCTGTGTGTTCGCTCTGTAGCGCTGTGTGTTCGCTGTGTGTTCGCTCTGTAGCGCTGTGTGTTCGCTCTGTAGCGCTGTGTGTTCGCTCTGTAGCGCTGTGTGTTCGCTCTGTAGCGCTGTGTGTTCGCTGTGTGTTCGCTCTGTAGCGCTGTGTGTTCGCTCTGTAGCGCTGTGTGTTCGCTCTGTAGCGCTGTGTGTTCGCTCTGTAGCGCTGTGTGTTCGCTCTGTAGCGCTGTGTGTTCGCTGTGTGTTCGCTCTGTAGCGCTGTGTGTTCGCTCTGTAGCGCTGTGTTCGCTGTGTGTTCGCTCTGTAGCGCTGTGTGTTCGCTCTGTAGCGCTGTGTGTTCGCTCTGTAGCGCTGTGTGTTCGCTCTGTAGCGTTGTGTGTTCGCTCTGTAGCGCTGTGTGTTCGCTCTGTAGCGCTGTGTGTTCGCTCTGTAGCGCTGTGTGTTCGCTCTGTAGCGCTGTGTGTTCGCTCTGTAGCGCTGTGTGTTCGCTCTGTAGTGCTGTGTGTTCGCTCTGTAGCGCTGTGTTCGCTCTGTAGCGCTGTGTGTTCGCTCTGTAGCGCTGTGTGTTCGCTCTGTAGTGCTGTGTGTTCGCTCTGTAGCGCTGTGTTCGCTCTGTAGCGCTGTGTGTTCGCTGTGTGTTCGCTGTGTGTTCGCTCTGTAGCGCTGTGTGTTCGCTGTGTGTTCGCTGTGTGTTCGCTCTGTAGCGCTGTGTGTTCGCTCTGTAGCGCTGTGTTCGCTCTGTAGCGCTGTGTGTTCGCTCTGTAGCGCTGTGTGTTCGCTCTGTAGCGCTGTGAGTTCGCTCTGTAGCGCTGTGTGTTCGCTCTGTAGTGCTGTGTGTTCGCTCTGTAGTGCTGTGTTCGCTGTGTGTTCGCTGTGTGTTCGCTCTGTAGCGCTGTGTGTTCGCTCTGTAGCGCTGTGAGTTCGCTCTGTAGCGCTGTGTGTTCGCTCTGTAGTGCTGTGTGTTCGCTCTGTAGTGCTGTGTTCGCTGTGTGTTCG